AACCATCAATGTAAAAGATTAACAAAAATATTCCAATGATGGTAAGGGATGACTTTGTAGTTTTCTCATTAATATCGTTCCACGGAGGATATTGTTTCTCTAATGATGTCTTCGGAAAATGTAAGAAACTGTTTCTCAGAGTTATCATTAAAACTAAAGTGACATTTGAATCAAAAACATCAGAATTTGTTTTTTTTTCTGATAAGTCAAAATAAAATTCATATTGCCAATCTTTCTAATAGCTCAATTTTGGATTCTTATACAAAGATAAAAATGTACATTTAAAGAGTGCATTTGGAGAAAGCAAAAAGGGACTAAGATAAATTATTATTTTTTTTTATTAATGTAGTCATGCGAGTTTCATGTATCTAAGTTGAATAAAGATTTGTACTCGTTTCTGTACATGATATATCCTGTATGCTTATGGTACGTTTTTGCGTCATCAAAAAAGGAACTAACGACAAAAGAAGCATGAAAATAATATATAGAAAAGATGTACCAATCAAGATATATAGACAACATGTCAATATGACGTGTGAAGAATGTATAATTCTGAATAGATTAGAAAATGTTAGGCATGCATTTTTTATTCATTCCAGTAGATAGACTCATAAGTGAAAATATTCTTTAACTCTGGTTATTAATGAAAATGTGTAATCTTTTGCTTAAAAATACATCATTAATAAAGGAAAACAATGGTTCGACATTAGTGACATTGAAATAACTTTTGTTTAAAAAAAAACCAGTCTATTGACAAGTATTAATTATATTACATGCATGTTTTGTTTTGTAATTAATCTTTTTCATGTATTTACTTTCAAATGAAGCCTATCGATTTACAAAATAACAAATTCTATTGTATTGAAATTCAATATATAAAATCATTCAGCTCGTTTCTCTTGTTTTTTTTGCTTGTTAACATCTTGTTCTTGTTTTAGCCTCTTGCCATTATTTAACTTTCATCTACAAACTCGCAATGGATAATGCATGCCTCTTATTTATTTATCAATGATTAGTACATCTGTTAGTTCTTATTCATAACTTCTTTTTCATGATCCATCATTGACATAAAAACAGGGAATTAAGTACAGCCAAGCTGTTTTTCTTTCTCTAACTACAGTCACTTCGCTGATATTAACACAGCTTGTAGCAAGCAAAACAAAACACAATCGTGAGCACTTATAGAGAAAATTGAAATTTATTTAGACATTGCATCAAGGGGGAAAAAGCGGATCCTCGTATCCTCGGATCCTTTGGATCCTCTGGATCCTTTTGGATCCTTTTGGATTCTCT